AGACATGACATATCCTTTGTTGTCAACAAGGTTAGTCAATTTATGCATAGTCCACTTGAGATTCATTGGAATGTTGTAGAAAGGATCCTTCAATATCTAGTAGGGATAGTTGATCATGGCCTGGTCTTCCATCCCTACAAGGAGTTGAGACTGCTTGCCTTCTGTGATTCAAATTGGGGGTCTAATGTTGATGATAGGAAGTTAACTTCAAGGTTTTGTATCTTCCTAGGTCACAATCTAATTTTCTAGTCAAGTAAGAAGCAGTAATCTCTAGATCAAGCACAAAGGACGAATTTAGAAGTCTAGCAGCTATAATAGCAGACTTGTCTTGGATCAAAACTCTACTGCTAGAACTAAAAGTCCCTTGTTCACTACCACCTACCATTTTCTGTAACAATTTAAGTATTGTTCTCATGTCAGCCAACCCCATCTTTCATCAAAGGTCCAAACATTTTAAGTTATACCTTCACTTTGTGCGAGACATAGTCATTTAGAAGCAAGTGTGTGTTTCTCATCTTCCCTCAATAGAACAAGTAGCAGATGTCCTCACAAAGTTCCTGTCATCTGCTATTTTTTTTCAATTTCTGAAGCAAATTCAAAGTTCTTCCTTCCTTATCACTCGGGAGTTTGAGGGGAGATGATAAGTTGTAGGTATAATTCAGTTGTAACTGATTAATTTTCTATTAGAACTAACAACTAGTTTTAGTTATTAGTTGCAAATAGTTAAGGAACTCTATCCTATAGTCGTATATAATCTATGCTATATAAAGCATAAGTAATAGTCAATTTAAACTTACTTAAAAAGTTTTTCCCAATATTCAGCAATCCAATTTCTTTCTTCTCCGCATCTTTGTTTCTGTTTTCCTTTATCAGCTTGATCTCTGGTACCAACAAGGTGTTGTACGTGGATCTTCCAATCCTTGCTATACACTAATATATCATTAAAAAAATACAAGCACGAAGTTTTTATTTGTATCCAAATCATTCGTAAATGCATTGTTAACACCATTACTTCTTCAACTTGAGTCAAGTTTTTATTTGTATCTACATATAATATTAGCTCATTCTCCTCCTCCAGAATTCAATTACCATAAAAAAAAACATCTTCAATGTCAAAGTTAGATTTTTTTCCTCGTCTTGAACTCTTAGTCCAATTTTGAGTTAGTGATTATAAACCCAATATCATTTATCAGCTTTTACTTTAAACTATTTTTTCATTGGTGTGAACATAAATAACAATAAAATTAATTAATAGTTTAACATAATAATAAAGTAGTCTATTTCATAATTTTAAGAAATTACTTATCATTCCAAAAGCATTTCAATCCCAATTAGATAAGTTACATGTTAAGTTCAATACATAAATAACAAACCTTTGCAATTCTTGATGTTGTCCATCATAAGATTTTCATCACTATATTGGAGTTTTGACTTTCAGTTCTGTAATTGCTATTTTTGTACCAAAAAAAACTCTTTTTTAGTTTTAAAATACTCCAGTTGACCATCAATCTTATTCACTATATTCATGACTTCTATCATTCTTTTTTAAACACTCATGTAATCTATGTTTAACTTCAAAATCATCTTTAAAATAAAGAGCATAATGCAAAATTAGATTAATATAGTAGTCTACAGCACGCAAAAGTTTGCAATTGCTTGTTTTATCTTTCATCAATTATCTCCTATAGTGACATGAAATTAGATATTAAAGAATAACAAAAAAATGAATTTTCAAACTAAAGTTATAAATTATTAAATTGAACTAATATTTTATATATATATATATATATATATATATATATATATATATATATTTTAACTCAATTGAAGTTGATTTAAATCTCTTCCTTGACTTGATCTATGTCCTCATAAATGAAATGAAACACATGTATGACATGTATTTTGAATCTACCATACACAATACTTTAATTAAAGGATAAACACTCCTCAAATAATTTATTATATTTTTCCAAAATTTGCTTTTTGTAAGTAGATTTTCAACCATTATTTCATCCTTAATTTTTGTAAAGTATTTTCTTTCTATTTTTTTGGATGTAAACATTCTCAATAATAATTATTTATTATCATTTAGACATCTTAAAGTCAAGTAAAAAATTACAAAACATTATTATCTAAAAGCTTAATAAAAAAGTTTCAATTAACAAAAGAATAAAATCATTTCCCCTGCATGTTAATTGAATATACAGTATAATAAAAACAATCAACTTTAAGGATGATAACATTTTTCTATTTTTCAGTAGATCCACTTGCAGCCTAAAAGTTTACCGCTACTCCTTGGTTATGCAATTGCCAAAGACCCTTTTCCGCAATCAACTCAAACCCTCCAACACAGGTGGAGCCTAACAAAATTAACGCAAGTCTTTAAAGCAATATAGTTGATTTCAAGTACCTTTACATGTGGGCGGATTCTAATATCCTCCCTTCTTTTGTAAAAAATAAAAAAAAAAGAAATATTTTGCAAAAGTTATCATGTATTATGGACCGTTGATTTTAATCGAATGGTTAAGAATGAATTACAGGATACCGATTATTCAAGTTAGATTTTTGAAAGGATACATTGGTAATTTCATACTTTTATTTTTTCTTCGTGTTTTATTCTTCTTTTTCTTCTTCTTGGTGTTGGTCATCTTGTTCTCTTCAGCGTTATGTTAAAAATTATATTTACAGAACAACAGGTAGGTGTGGAGCGTTTACAATGTTAAAAACATGAAATTTTAAATATTAAGTATGTATAAAGTTAAGATAAAAAGAACATCAAGTTGTGGAGACTCAATATAAAAAGTAGGGGATAACTGTATTACTACAATGAAATTGGTTGTGCAGGTCAGAGACAGTGAAAAAAGCAATGAATATTTGATAATTTTTGCAAGGGATCGAGAGTTAAAAGATGAACAATGGTTTGTGCGACCTTTACATTTGCATCGGTTGTGTTATAAAATCAATATGATTAGATGAACACCTTTTATATTTGCGCATGGATTCAATTTGCATCGAGTCTGTGGCAAGTCTGATGTTATTAAGCAACCACTTTATACATTTTCTGCATGGACTGTATTTACATCGGTTGTGTTGGATTTATGTCGCTAATTTTTACATCAGTTATCTGAGAAAACTCATGTAGAAATTACGTTTTAATTTTTTAAATATATTTTGTAAAAAATTATTGCTTCGCTCATCCAATTCAACTAATGTAGAAGTGACTTTTCCCAACCACGTTTCATGTTCTTCTAGCCATGTCTCATTGGAATCCAGATTAATAGGCCAATGCATGTAATTCAGAAGAAATTATAAAGGAAGTCATAGAGGAGAAATTTCATTTATGTTAATTTTATCCAACAAATTTCAAAGTTTAGATGGAAAAAAAAATTTAGGAATGAAGGAGGTTGAGAAAAAACAAGAGAGATGAAAATGGAGGAGTTGTAGAGGAAATTATGAAGGAAGTCACAGAGGAAAAATCTCATCTTAGTTAATTTTGTTCAACAAATTTCAAAGTTTAAATGAAAAAAAAAATTGGAAATGAAGAAGGTTGAGAAGAAATAAGAGAGATAAAAATGGAGTTGTCGTATAGATGAAGAGAAAAGAGATAAAGGAGAAGTAGTTATTTACATCGGTTATCCATGTAAAACTTACGTTTTAATTTTTTAAATATGCTTTGTAAAGAATTATTGCTTCGGTCATCCAATTCAACTGATGTAGAAGTGACTTTTCCCAACCACGTTTCATATTCTTTCAGCCATGTCTCATTGGAATCCAGATTGATAGGCCAGTGCATGTAATTCAAAGGAAATAATGAAGGAAGTCACAGAAGAGAAATCTTATCTTAGTTAATTTTATCTAACAAATTTCAAAGTTTAGATGAAAAAAAATCTGGGAATGAAGGAGGTTGAGAAGAAACAAAAGAGATGAAAATGAAGGAGTTGTCGTAGAGATGAAGAGGAAAGAGATAAAAGAGAAGTAACAATTTACTTATTTACTCTTCATTAACATTTTATTATCCAATGTAGTCATCTGTTCCTTTTGATTTTTAACCTTTTCATCAATTAATCTTAGTCATTCATTTTATATCTACAAATATCAATAGTTCAAAGTTAATTTCTTTTTACTTATTGAAAAGTATTGTATTTACTTTTTACAAAAGAAAGGAAGATATTAGAACCTACCTTACATGTGGGAGCAAATTTCCTGCTCTATAGCTTTTTTCAATCTTGAATGTCACTTCATTTTATATTTGTGTCTTACCAAAGAGCCCTAAAACATGTACTTTTCACAAGCTATATATGAATTGACAATTAGTATGCTACATAGATAACTTATAGTAAGGCTATATGGAGTAGTTTCGTTTGCTTTGTACTTAACTCATCTAACATATCTATTAAAGGGAGGAACGAAGATTAGTACTTTAACAAATTGTTAAAGAAAATAATCTTTCACCTATTAAACATAATAATATTTTAGGAAGATCTTAAAACTAATATAATGCAAATTATTTTAAAAATTAAACATGAAGCATGAAAAAGAAATTTAAGAAAATATAATATAATTATAATTTTAATTTTTATATATTTATTCTAAATATTTTATTTTAAAATATAATTTAATTCTTATCACATCAATTTTTAATGTCAGTAAAATAAATAAAAAACAAAAAATTAAATCAAAATTAAAAAATAAAGAATTTAATAAAAAAGATAGAAACAATATATTAATGAACAACAAGAATAGTTGTTTTATTTAATTTTTAATTATAACATTACCATTTTATTTTTAAAAATTATAAAATAACTTTATACAAATCATTAAAAATAAAGAATAAAATAAAAGTAAGGTAATAATAGTTTTATAATTAAAAAAAAGTTTATTGAAATTAAATAATTCTTATTGCATTCAAACGACCCGCAAACCCGAGAGATCTCGGGTCGAATCTTCCCTCATGGTTTCACTTTCAAAATGGAGGTACAGCCACAGAAGGTCGAAAATGCCGAAAAATGGAAGAGATTGGAGTGGTGCAGCTTCAAGATGAACTACACAAGCTATCGTGCATTAAATCGGAGGAAACACTGGAGCGCGTGCTGTGCACTCTCTGGATCACTCGAAAAACTGGTCTTCGCCCCTCCGACAAGTCCGATTTCCAGTCGCTCCTCCACCTCCCTTCCCCCTCGCAACTCGAACCCGTAAGTTTTCGTGCTCTGCACGCGTTCGTTTGAATTCAGATAATTTTTTAAAATTAATTATAATAATTATTATTATAATATTCTGACTAACGGTGCCAATAGTCAACGTCAAATTTAGGTGTTGGCGTGTCTTCGTTCCCTCATCAGGAAATGCGCTTATCAGAATCTCACCGGCGATGAACTTCTGAAGCTTTTTCCGCCGGATCTGCCGCTCGAACTTCAAAGCAATCTCGTTTTGTTGTTACAGAAGAACCGAGATCGGTGGAAGGAGGAGATATCTCCGGAACGGGTTAGAACCAATGTTCCTTCGGTTTTTCTACCTCCGTGGCCTCGCCATGACGGTGACTCCGTTCCTTCACTCGATCGCGCCGATTTAGCAACGGCACCGCCGATTCTTCCGGATGTTACTGCGTCGGGGTTGCTTCCGTGCTTCCAATGTGATAATATTGCTGCTTCTGATAACTTGGTAGGTACTTGTGATATTACGGGGGCACTTGGATAAGCAGTTTAATATATAGAGATTGCGTTTGGAAGAGTTTATGCAGATCACTAGGACTTGATTTTGCGTTTAAAAGAGTTTATGAAAACAGGGTGACTTGAAGATTTTTCAATTTATTTTAATACTTTTTTATATATCTTATTAAAATAAATTATTTTTAGCTCATGTGAATAAGTTTCACCACCTAATTTATAGTATACATTTCTTTTGCAATAAGAGTTTATTGATTAAATACTTAATTCAGCTGCTATATAAAATATACTTAAATTTGATCATGAAAACTAATTGAAATAAATTTTAAAAAATTATTTTGATAAGCTGAAAATTTAAAGTTTATTAAAATGAGTTTAAAGCAGTTTATAAGTTCTTTCAAATACCTCTTCTTAATATTAAGTAATAATTTTGCCAGAGTTTTATTTTGTAGGAGTTTTAATTTCAAACCACCTAGTGTTTTTTTCCTGTATACTCTAAAGAAATATAAGAGTAGATAGAGTGAAACGAGTGTAACACCATTTTGCTATAGAAAGATTTGGGACTGGTCTTGAAAGATGAAAATTGTCATTTTTGTCCTTGAAAGAAGATGAAAATGTCAATCAATTTAGTCCCAAAAATGATCCCCGAGAAGAACTAAATTGATCGACATTTTTGTGTTTTCAGGACAAAAATAATGATTTCCAGCTTTTAAGAACTAATGTAAAGTCCTTGAAAAATTATGTAAATAAAGAACTTAATTATTCATCTTTTCATCTTTCAAGACAAAAATGAGAACTTTTATCTTTCAAGAACTAATGTGACCAACCCAAGTTCTTCAAGGACTAAAATGGTATTTTACTTTTAGATAGTGTATCAGAGGGTTTTTTTTTTTTTTTTTTTTTTTGGGAGGGGGGCTATATATTTATATTTCCTTCTTTTTTGTTATTGAATATCATAGGAAAACCTTCCTTGCCTCAAATCAATGACTTGGACCATGGAGAATCGTGGCTCATCCCCTTCAGATAGAGTGGCTGTAATCAGCCTTAAGGTAATGAGGAAAAATGTTTCTTCTCTTAATTAAATATGCATAAGCTAAATACAACTATAATTGAGCAGATTGCTTCTGTACAATAAATACATGATTTGGTTGTTCATGTAGAAGAGTTATAACCTTCAAATTTTGGTTTAGCCTATGATTCTGTTTTGTAATTTGTAAGCTGAGTGCTGGACGTGTCTTCTGTATGCTGCTGTTGCACTTTTCAAAACAATTGCATGATTGCTTTTATGAGTTGCTATGGAACTATGTATGATGATGTATAGTTATTATGAATCAGAAGCTACTTTTAGAAGCATTTACCAAAAATTTTTTTAGCACTGTTACATATATTAAAGGGCCACATTGTACATGCAGTATTTAAATAATTTTATTGGTTTTTTCGTTGTGATATAACATTGTAATATTGTTATACTATGAAAGATGTACCTGTAATGTGTTTTCGTTTATAGCTGCATGATTATAGCAAGTCTCCATTAGGCGAAACAGAGGTAAAGTTTCAGCTTACAAGGGATACACTTGAGGCTATGCTGAGATCCATGCAATACATCAGTGAGCAACTAAGTGCTGTAAGATATCCTTCTATATTTATCATGATTATGATGAACGATAAATTGGAAAATTAAACCTAAAGTTATCAGAGTTTATTGATATGGAGAGTTTCCCTTGTATGAAAACCTGTTTGCTGAATACAGAATTTATGATAATGTCGGATAGTTTGTGGGTTGACAAAAGAAAGGAAAAGCAGTTGAGTCCATTAAAATTATGGATGCCGATTTGCTAATAAGAAATGAAGATGCTGAGCAATCTATTACTGCATATATGTTTTCCTGCCAAGTTAAAACAGACATTTTGAAGTTCATTTGTTAATTATATCCAGAGCAGTAAGCAATGCAACTCGATGGCATGGATGGTAAAAGTTATAGGACCACTAAAAACTTTTATTTATGTCCCAATGTAATTCTTTTGCAGGACATAACTAATAAATCACTTTCTGGTAGGTGAAAAAATGATAACTCCATACTGGACGTAATTTTAAAGATGGCAGGAATTAGGTTCCCGCAGAACTTATCATATATATACTGATCGTTTATTTTCAGAATATTGTAATGCTGTGTATACCAGGAGAGGATTCTAGGGAAATTACAGGAGTTATGTTTTCCAGACAAAGTCTTTCGTGTTGTATTTAATTTTGTGTCATTCTCGAATGTGTTTGCAGGTTGGGACTTCTTCCGGGCCAGTAAACAAGAAACAAAAGCAGTAGCAAGTTTTCCTGTAATTAATGCCGTAGCTCCTAAGTCACGATAGTTAGAAATATTAGGATAAATATCTCATCCTTTTAAAACAAGAAAAATAAAAAGTTAGTTAGTAAATGACCACACATATATGCTGTAATGGCAATTTACCTTAATATATATTGGATGCTATAACTGATTTCAATCCAAGTATTGATGATTCTTTTATTAATGCCATTGAGGAAACATTCTGGTAGTTGTAAAGATTTGAATTGGTGTGTTTATGATGCTCTTTTAACTATTTGTTTCTTTTGTAACAATAAATTTACAAGATCTTTTTCATGTCTTATTTGCCCTCTTTTTACATTTTTTTCTCACCTTGTGAAGGGCAAAGCGAACTGCATGAAAATTAGAGGACATGAATTTTTCACCTTTTGCCAATTGCATGGATATTAGATGATATAGGAACCCAAACCATTATCTGCATAGTGTACAGAAGAAAATTATAAATTCGGGACCATAAAAGATTCTAATTTCTAAACAACTGCAATCTGGTCCAAATGATGGAAGAAGCCATGGAAGGAGATTTTTGAAACTGAAAGGGTTCAGTCTATGAAAAAATGGTTCTCTAAGCGTTCTGGTATCCTTTTGTCAAACCTTTTTTTCATTTAAACGCCACGCGATGCTGGAACTTGGTAAGAATTGTATAGAAATCATTCTAGAATGTCCCAAAAGAACTAGATATCCAGAGCTGATATATCAAACAACTAGAAATGCCAAAACATTTGGGGGTCTAAAATTAGGATAACCAAAACCAAGTATAAAATCGTTTCAAAGAGGCATCAAATCCAACGTGCTAGCTACATTTTAGCGACTAACAAGGGTTTTGTTTTTGGTCCCATGTACGTATGTCAATTGAACGCTATATCGAGTACCTTATGGACTTTGGAACGTGTCTTAATAATAGCTTGACTAACGTGTATCCCAGGCACATACTAATAAGATGAAGAAAATTCGGGACTTGATGGGAAAATGCAGTAAATATTTATACACAAGCTCGATGGAGTCCTCATTATTCACCAATAAGTATCCAATTGATTTGGTCAATAGAGGCATAAAGCCAAAATTGACAACTACAATTACATTCTCCATTGCTCCATTAACTAAACAGATTATAATTATTGATATAATGATATTTTTTCTTGGACAGAAAAGTGATTATTGATGTAAAGGTGAAGAAATAAGAAGCCATAAAAAAAAAAGAACTGCTTACTATATACACAAACAAGTCCAATCACCATTTCTACAATCGAAGTATAATGTACAATAATCCTTGTTTTTTGGATTACACAATGTGCACAAGTCGGAAATAAAATCTCATCCTATATATGCCAAATTGCTCACACTCGGGGTAAAATTGAACAAAACTGCACGCTTCAAGAAATAAAACCAAAAAACTCATTCTTGAAGAAACCAATCCAACAAAATTTAAGAAACCTGACCTGACTACTATCAATTAGCCAAGACATGATGGTGCCACGGCTAGATACCCAAAATCCCATCACTGAAGAAAAAATGAAACAACATAAATAAGAAACTTACAATCTTGCTCAAAGTGACCTCAGAATCAATCAGAATCACTCGAGCTCGAGCTGGAGCTGGAACTAGATTTCCTACTGTGAGACTTTGCCTTTTTACCGGAGCTCCTAATGGGTATATCTTCCAATTTATCCACTGTAGTTCTGCTAATTTCCTCAGAACCGGTTGCCACATCAGATGATTCATTCACCTTGGCCGAGCCAACTTCATTTGATTCCACTTTGACTGAAGTCTCTTTCAAATCCAAAGGATTTGACAGCTCCCTTTGGTTATCTTCGGAGACTTGCTTTAAAGCAATATTAATATCTTCAAGTGATCTAGCTTCAACAACTTGTAGGTCTGAATTAACTTCAAGGTGATCTTTATCTTTAGATTCATCACTAACAAGCTGATCCTTAATCGTACTTGGAAGGATTACCTCTTTAACATCTACTCCTTCTTGAAGTTGCTTAAAAGCCAAGTTAATATCGTCAAGTGATCTTGCTTCAAGAACTGGGACATCCTGCTCAACCTCTGCTATCTTTACATCCGTATGAAGTGAACTAAGTTGATCATCTCTAGTTTTCTCATGTTCAATGTCAGTATGCAGTGATGCACCGGCATCACTGACACTAAAATCCCCAACAGTGTCCAATTCTGACAAGAATCCTTCATCAATTTCCTTCATATCATCTAATTCATCGATGTTTTCTTCAGTAAACTGAGACATGAAGTCCCCTTCTGAAGGAACCAAGTTTTCTGGGGCTTCATTTTGGTACTCATTTTTAACTTCTCCATGCCTATCAACTTCCAAATCCACTTTGCTAGAGGGTGAACTGAATTCAGGAGTCTCATATTTTTCTGAGGTCACAGAAGAGATGCTTAGAGGAAATTTATCGGTCACACCATGCCATTCTCCAGCTTGATCATTGGAAGTGCCAAAATCCTGTGCAGATTCAACCTGGATAGCATTAGAACTCTAAAGAATGTTAAAGAATTTATGTACATTGATTGTGTGTATGTAGAAATACTCAAAGAATATATAATTCAAACAATTACTACCTTGAAATACATTCTATCTACTAGTGCAATGCAACTGAATTTCACATACATACTTACTAAGCATCATATTTGTTTGACATCTATTTGCATAAGCCATCATTCTACAAAATTCCTATAGAAGAGTTTTCTTCTGTTTGGTGGAACAGAGGCTATAAACTTGTGTCATCACTAACAAATTTGACAAGAACAACCTATCTGAACTGGACTAATATTTTCTGGGTATTTAAGAATTGGCAGTCACAATAGGAGATGGGAGTTCATATTTTAACGATAATACAATGAAAAAGATCAGGAAAGGCCACAAGTTAATATGGGTTTGTTGGTAATGAAAATTGGAGGAAAATATTTGTTTTCCTTCTGGGTATCATAGAAAAGGAAAAATTGAAGGGTAAATTAACTTAGTCATGTCAGGGACTCTATGGGAAAGATAGATTCTGAATATAAGTTAAGCAGGTAAATACTTTTTCTTTCTTCCCCCATTAATGGAGAATCTGCAGGGACATGGAATAGAAAAAATGTGTTTCCTTGGAATGGAAATAAAATGGATAAAGGGTAGAGTGGTAGACCAGTATGGAACTATGCACCAATTATTGGAAGTACAGCAGTTACTGACAGTGACACGATCCTAAAATTTCAGTGGCAAATACTAATAAATAGCATGTTAAATCCCATATGGATTTACATCAGTATTGGGAATATAATCAATAGGATGTGTTAAAATCAAATAACACCGCTATTGTTCCTTTAGGACATCATCATGTGATTTTCCTCAATAAACTGGGTCCTTAAAGCAAACGAATTTCAAGGGATAAATTATTTAGATTAATGAAGGCATAAATTGTCATGTGACTTACCTGACTTTGATCATGATCACTGGAAGATTGTGCAACCACTAATTTATCAGAGCTTGACAGCTGATTCTCCATGTTAGACGGAGACTTCACATCAATTTCATGTTGATTATTGGAAGTGAAGACCACCATATTCTTATCCAAATCTTGGTGGATTTCAGTGTTACCTTGCTCCATGGGACTTGACAAGAAAACTGTATCCTGTTGAATCTGAATGTCATTGTTACTTGATGAAATTTTCTCTATATGTTCAGTTTCTTCCGAAGGTAGAACAGGATGGACCACTGGTACTTGCCCTGCTGCTGGTGGAAGCTGTAAATCCTGTGCAGCAGGCATAGATGAACCATTAGAAGAAATATGGTGGGCATCAGAGGCCACCGAATCTGGTATTTCACTTGCATCTTGGACTGACACAGACATATTTGCATTATGAAATCTTGATATTTCATTAGGCAGGGCACCTTCCTCCACGGATTCATTATCTGATAGATGTGACTTTTCAGAAGCCATTTGATAGTTTGAATCTGAAGAATCTACAGTGTCTTGATGACAAATTTCAGAGTCAGTGTGTATGTGGTCAGCTAGATCCTGTCCATGAACTAAGCCTGAATTAGTCACATCCTTTATTAATCCAATATCCAAAGACAAATTTGAATCTGTGGAAACAGGGACAACCTGAGGCTCAGCCATTGTAGATCCATTCTGATCAACAAAATTTGGGGCAACTGCAGATGACTCATTTGCAGTGACATTATTTATATCTTCAGATTTCTCAGACCTCCATTCACTTTTGGCTTCCACATGTAATTCAGAAGAGGCCGCTTCGGTATTTTCAGGACCAGAAGCATTATCTTGCACTTTGTGATCTTGCACTTCAGACTCTTTATCTGCCACATTAGCAGTCGTTTTTACTGAAGCAGAAGGCAATGCCCCCTCGGAAATCTCCACTGCAGAATCAAAAGAAGATACTGAAGGAAAAGATTGGAGCTTTTCAGAAGGAGGTGGACTAGAATCATAAACAGGTTCTACGTGTTGATTGTCTTCCACTTCACTTACATGATGGAGGTTTGATTCCTCCGTTGAAGCTTGTGTTGAAATTCTAGATTCTGAGATATGATCATCTACTTGCTGTGAATTTGACTCTCTTTCCATTTTTTCATCTGGTATGTTGTCAATTACTTCTGATACAGATGAATGGCTTGATCTACTGCTGCTGCTCTCCTCATCACTTGGTTCTCTTCTCAATTGTGTATCCCCTGCATCAAATTGCTCATGGGTTTCAACCTCTCCTGTTTCAGGATAGAATTCCATCTCCGAAGGATTCTCCACCCCACCCAGCACTATTTCAACTTCATCATGGTGAACATCACTCTCCTCAGCTTGTATCATCTCCACAGAATCATTTTCTCCAGAGGATTGGCTTCCATGTTCAGCATTATCAGAAGCATGATCAATGTTAGATATTAACTCAGTCTCTTGAGAAAGGTCTTGTTCACTGAATTTCCTGTCATCCTGATCAATTGAGCTCACAGATTCAGTATCTGGAACAGAACTCAACTTTGAATCACTTACTTCACTGGATTGCCTCTGAAATGAAGAATAGCTTGTTCCCTCTGAAGCCACCCTTTCAGATATAAAGACGGGTTTCCAATCATACCTCTCATGCCTGGATATCCCCAATACTGATGTTCCGATGCTGAAACTTTCATGCCGCCGAAAAAAGGCATCTTTTTGATTAAACACCGTGAACTCTTGTTGAAAACTGTCCCCCTTAAGATCAGGTTTTTCTTCATTTGAGTCATACGGAATATCAAAGGGGTTTCGTCTAGGCTGTAGAATAGATGGAGCAGAACCAGGAATGGGTGGTAACCCCATGGCAGCATAGGAGTCATCAGGGAAATCAAACGGGTTACACCTGGTTGTAGTAATAGGTGGAATGTTACAGGGAAGATCAGCACCATCTAAGTCTATTAGATTCTTCTCTGTCATCAATCTCCTTGCTCTTCTCCTAGCAATAAGATGCTCCAACCGTTTATTCCTTTCTAGTTCTAAATTTCCCAGATCCATAAGATTCTTTTGGTCATCCTCTGTCCACTTGATAGCAGACTTACTTTCATCCTCTTTGCCACCCTCCACTTCTTCCTCTTCATCATCGCGTTCATCAATATCATCTACTTCCACGTCACAGTGGTTTTCAGATTCATCATCTGATTCAACACTGTCATCATCACTTTTTTGAGACTTATCAGATGCAGAATCAGAACCATCACGGGACACATGAGCCGGCTGTGGGGCATCTACATCTAAAAGAGGGTGGAGTTCATCAAGCATTGGAATGATGTCAGCCATGGAAGCATCAGGTGAAGAGCTCTCTGCCCCATCAGACCCTGACTCCACAGATTCATCCTCCTCCTCATCATCGTTCTCCTCCTGTTTCCAAGATGAACTGGCCGAAAAGTCAATGGGATCTCCTGGAGTTTTCTCATTCTCAATTTCAATAATATCATCATTAACTTTTTGAACCAAGACATATTGTTTCTCAATAGCTTCATCATCACTCGAAACAATTTCAGACCTTAGGTTCTCCTCATGAACTTCCCTGCTCTTCCCCAACTCAAAACTATGGAACTCCCTTTCAACTTCCCCTTTTTCTTGCTTCTCAGGCTGAATATCCTGCAAGTTTTCCTCATTGGGAGGCACGTCAGAAAGCAAGCCGTGATCTTCCTCCCCCCTATTATCCTTCTCACTCACCAAACTTGCTTCATCAATGCCGCTCTCTTCTACATCACTCTTATTTTCTGAATATCCTTTCACAAAATAGCTCTCATCTCTGTCAGCAAAAACAATGTCACCCTCGGAAAACCCAGTTTGGAAGGACGAAATGCCATGAGTAACTTTCTCTTCCTTTTCAACTTCGGGCACATTTGATTGCCCAAAACTGAGAAGGGTCCCAAGCAGAACAGCAGTGCAGACCAAAACAGGGGATGCAGACACCAAAACAGAAAATAGAAAAGGAAAATATTTGTACAACAAAAGCAAGAAACCAATAAAACCCACAAGGAATGGATGGTTGCAAACTGATCCGTAACCACCTCCGATTGAAATCACAACAAGTTTCCTTATTTTGATCCCAATTTCTGATCCCATCTTCCTCTCTTTCTCTTTCTCTTTCTCTGTCTCTCACTTGATAACTCTCCCACTAATTAAAACCTGTTGTGATTCATCAACCATAAACAAACAAATGGGTACCCAGATAAGAAGATCCAATGATCCATAAACAACAGTTCCCACAAAAGAAAAAAGTTTCGAAATTTAACATAATTTAAGCTTAAACGTACCTCAACATGAATCAAAATAAATCCCAGAGAATCACAATGATCAATCTAATCCCTGAACAAAAACGAAAAATCCAGGATAAAAAAATGATGGATTATCACTGTATAACCAGTTAGGAATAAGGATATGAAAATAAAAAAAAAAGATATTTTGGAGAGAAATGACTCACCAGATATGATTGTGGAAATAAAAGAAGACAAAGGATAATTGGGAATCCTCTGCTTTTCTATGTTTCTTCTTTTGTTTACTTTATGAGGAAAACAGGAGCTATAGGAAGCTGAACGTGTGTGTTATGGCATTGGCTATGTGTATTTGATGGTTTGACAAAGAGAGTGTGGGGCGGCAAGAAAAGAAGAGAAAGAGGAAGATTGAAGGTGAAGGAGAAAGGGAAAAAAGAAAAAAAAAATGAAAAGGATAGAAAGCTATCATTACATTATTACAACTATTTTAATTTTTCTTTTTTTTTTCCTCTCCCTATGTTGCTTTCTGCAAAGAAACCTTTTACTCTGTCATGCTTTCTTGTTATGATCTGTGGGACATCTCATGGTGATTTGGGTATGGGCAGTCTCATTCTCATATTCAATTTAATGCATAACTGATCGTGTTCTTGATCTACCTTGCTGTCATGAGGTCAGGAGAATTCTCAAGTTCATATTTTACCCAAATTCAGAGTGAAAATACAATTTGATGGCTAGTAAACAATAATGCAACTATATTACAATAAATTATTAGTAAAAATAATCTCCAATAATTCATTTATAAAAATGTGTTAATTTTGTCAAATGTATTTTACGTGATATTTATAAAATTTGCATATAAAATAAATGATTGATTTCCAAAACCTGTTGAATGGAATTGATCGTTATACGATTTTTATATTCAATTTATCTATATTGAAATAACGGGATTTGTAAGTTATTTAAATGATTGTAATTAAATTTATCAAACAAAAATTAATTTTAATCTAAATTAAGTTTTATTCGGGATATGCTTATTAATTGTTTGGATAAGTACAGTGTAGTCTTTGTGATTATATAGAAATAGAAATGTGTTTTTTAATAGTGTTTTGGATGAGAGGAAAGTCCTAGATTCTATTATTTTGAGGTCCTGAAAATGACTATTACTTGTTAGTAAGGGAGAAGCTGTTATGTTAGCTGATTGATATTTGAACTCACGAAATTATATCCGTCTTAGCTTTGTATAAGTATATTTTTGCTTTATATTTCTTACCATGCTTTTTATTTCTTTAAATAAATAATTTTTTTATGTGTATATGAGTTTTGAGTTCCCCTTAAACTCTCTCTAATAATATTTATTTTACTTATAAAAAAAAACAAAGATAAAAATTTTATACTAATGAAAAAATTCATTACTCAACCCAACTATTTCATAAATAAAATTAATTTTTTAACATACTTCTAATGATACATAATAAAAAAAATAATACATAATGAAATTTATTAAAAAATTCAATAATTAATATTATTAACATATTAGATTTGTGATACTATATATTTTTTAATAAAATTTTCCTGTTTTTTATTACATGACTTTAAATATATATATTAAAAATTTGATAAAAAATAATAATAAAGAGTTAAAGATGAATGTTGGTCACGATCATTGCATCCTCGATTTTGTGACATATTATTATTATTATTTATTCCTTAAAACATGCCATTTTGTCAGCGTTTTGTTCTTCCAGGCTGGTGTGTTGGATCGCCAAACATACCCTCTTATATATTTAATTAATCTTTTAATATTCCTAACAAATGAAAATCACATTTGAAAAAAAATATCAAGCTCAATGAAAGGGATTTAATAAACAAAGAGAATATTAAAGTTGCATTTGGATGTGAAGAATGATTTGAAGTTTCTTTGAGTTAAGGTTAGAATATATTTTTAATAGTTTATTTATAAATTAATTTGTATTTAAAAAATTATATTTATCTTTTTATATAAATATTTTATCATATTTAGTTTCTATCATTATAATAATATTTAAAAACTGCAAACTTAACTCAATTATGGTAACTTAACAAATTATAAACTTTATTAATAATATTATAATAATAAAATTAAAATATATCATTATACTTGTATAAAAATATAATTCTTTAATATAAAAATTAATTTAATGAATGTTAATTATAAAAATTAAACTCGTATTTTAATTTTAATATAAAATTATGAAATTAATTTTAAATTATTGAATATGATTGAAATATGTGTATAAATTAATTTAAATTATATATTTTATTAAAATATGTATTTTTATTAACAAAGTGTTTAAATTAATTTTTTTAATGGTAAAATAAATAAGTTATTAATAACATAGAACATGAGAGAAAATTATTTTCAGTTTAATATATAGTTTCAATTTTAAGTTTTTAATGAATACAATTGTGTTAAATATTTAAAAAAAATCACATATAGTAACTTTATCTAACTTAAACATGATTATTTTCAATGTTATATTATTTCAAAAAATAATTATTTTTGTTAAAATTATGATATTTTAGTTTTTTTTTAATTTATTATTACTTTCTTGGTCCTTAGTGTCATTTGGATTTAATGTACATATGGGTAATTTGTTAGGCCATACGTATTTCTCAAAAAAGAAAATAAAAGTGACCATTATAACTAAAATATTCTATTAAAAGAATTGAAATCACTTTAAACAAGTTGAGAAATGTTTCAAAATATTATAACTACAAAATAAAAGATATTTACAAATTCATTTATTTTAAATTTTGTCTTGTTACTTTTTACAGTAAGATGATTACCGTTTAAATTAATAAAATATAGCTGAACCAACTTTTAAAAAAAAAATTACATTTTTCAATGAGACCATTAAACAATTAAGCTCCTTTTTTATATTATTTTTTTTACAAATAAAGAAAAAAATATTATTTTCAATCCTTAGAGTTGAGAATAAATAGCTAATAATAGTAAAATTTTATTAAAAAAAAGTATTTATTGTATTTTTATAATTTTAATATAATAATTATATACTTTTTTCATAAAAAAATTATTTATAAATACTTAAACTCAGCCCTAGGAACAAAATTCAAATTTTTTTTTTTAAAAAGTTTTGACCTAAAATTTTGAAGTTGAAATGTGACGAATTCAGCGTCGGTATTGCTTCTCATCGAAATACAAATAACATTTTAAAACTAAAATAATTTGACTTTAAAACTATCACGTTAACACGTTCATGTAATTTTCACGAAATTTACTTTCGTACTATTCAATATTATTAATTTATTTACACTCTGTAGAACACAGATATTTCATTGAATTATCCGATACAATACATTTAAGCAACATGCGAAAATTTGACGATTCATATAAACTCAGTGGCATTAAAAAAGAAAAACAAAACTCTTTCAGCATTGCACTTTCAAATTTCACCTTCTAAAATTTAATTGACACGACCAATTTTTCTCTTAAGATTTTAGTCAGTGAACTTTACCTCCAAAATTTTAATTAATAATAATAAAAAATTAAAACATGGCACCATTAACATTTTAGTATAAATGTCATTTACTAACCTAACCCTCTAAAGGTACTAAAATAGAAAGAGATAAACGACAAATTCAGATACTTTTTCGAATGAATCACACTAACAAAATGTTTAGACAGTGAGTTACATGTGAAATAGAATTTAGAAAGTCTTTTTAGAATTTACCAATAAATTACCCTACATTCAGTGTATTAAAAATATACTATAAAGCGAAAATTTCCTTGTTTTCCTTACAGAATATAAGATCAAGATGTTATATAAGCTAACCTACCAACAACAAAGGACCTTTGCAGAACTAAAGAACTCACTTTTGGTCTGTAAATTATACTAAGCCAGTTAGACACTCGGTGAAGGATCCATCAGCAACTTTTTCCTTTTTCCCCTCCCCCTTTTTTTCCTGCTTATGAGAAAAGTTTAGGGTAATTTGTATTAGAATCTCAGAGTACTAATCGATATGATTAATTCTTGAGTTAGATGTTTCCTGCAAAAGTCGTGCGCTTCCATTCCTGTAAAGGCACAACGCCACAACCACAAGCCTAGTCTAAAATGCTGATTTGATAGTATAATTTCTCCATCCAGCATCCTTGACACCTCATCATTCACTAACTAATGCATCAAGGACGAAAATGCTTTCTCTTTTCTAAAATTTGTGCTCGAAGGAACAAGTATTTTTTGTGTTAATATTTAAGGCAATGAACAGAGTTTGTGCTTAGGCCTTGGTACATGAAACGGTGATTGGTGGCATTTCTCATCATAGCTTGTGACATTTACCAAATAACAATCATAAATACACCTTACGATAACCCTGCTACAACATAGAGAGATAGAAGCATAGATACGCCTAAAAGGCTAACGTGCCCATATTGGATACATATCCATTACGGGCATGTTGACGACGCTTGAACAATGTGTTCATTGATGTCACCTATCTACTTCAAATTTCAAAGTAGGTAAGTTCTAATTAAAATTTGACTTCATGTGTTACTTGAGATTATATGTTCAAGATGTTTCATTTTGTGATTAAAATATTTATTTTTCATTTTTACATAAGGAATCTTGCCGTGTCATGTCTGTCTTATTTAAGAATGTGCAATGTTACCGTGTTGGTGCTGCATCGTGTCTGTGCTTCCTAGGAGGTACTGAGGGAGGGGAAAAGTAACATGAAAGAAATGTGTAACTTTCTACGTTCTGAATGCTAGTTAAAATTCTGATGCCAGATGAGCCAACTCAAACTTCCTCGAACTTTTGAGTGAAAAGGTGCATGGACCCAAAAGTTGATTTTTGCTGCTATGGACAGTGGGCTGTATGGGGCATTGGCCGAGAGTAATGGTTCAGACGTCACTTTCAAAGTACAGTAGATTTAAGTTCACTAGTTCAGGGTTTGTGTAAAATTTGAATGAGTAACATAACTAACTCAGCCAGTGACCTGTCTCTTCTGATTCAGTTCTCCAAGCATTTTTTGGGTTCATGAACCTCATTCTTGGGTTCATATTGGGAGCAGGACATCTTCCCGTGTTTAATTACATAATCTTCCTCCAACTTTGAATGAACAGCTTCATCACTAGATGTTTCATCCTCAGAATCATTGTCTCCTGCATGCTGTAATTCATTGAAAGACTTCAAAAGACTGGGTGACGATATACCAGAATCAATGACATCAGACAACCTTCGGTCATCTTCTCTCATTTTTTTAGCATAAGCTTCATAGTTGAATCCAACTGTGCTTTTCCCACCAAAAGAGGCTTCCAGCTTGTCCATGTCAAAGAGTTCTTCCATTATCTTGAGGCTCCTTGGGTTGTCAAGGTAAACAAATGTCACCTTTTTGTAAGTCTTAGGTTCTAGAAATGGTTTCACCATCTGTTACAAAAAATAAAAATAAAAATGCATGCTTTTAAAACATAAAAAGCAAACGTAAAAACACTGAATTTAGATGTCCATGAACAAATTTGAACAGAAAAGGAAAGCAACCAACAAAATTCCAGCTTGTATTACTACTACATGGCTGCATATAATTCACAGGACTCATCTGATCCATCACAGATCACTTGAAACTAGTATTATTTCACTCTAGTTGGAATACATTCTCTTACTTTTTACAATTTTGCAGTGACAAACAGGAAATATTATCATATCATACCTTCCAAAATGACTCGAACACTTTTGGTGGATTGTAAAAGATTGCACGGCCCAACCTCTCTGGGTAATGAGCCTGCAGAATTTGAGCAGTATCCCGGGTGACCTTTAATGATAAGCATGATGTGCTCCACCCTTGAAAATCAATAAGCCAAACCATCTGTTCTTGATTAGAACTTTGATTCAATATGGCATTCTCCAAACAGTAAACAAGGTACTTGATCTGCTCAGTTCCCGAGTTTGTACTCTAAATTGGATAAAAATAAAGTTTCAGTCAAAGCATTGAAACTTCAATAGTATTACCAATGACATCCAAAAAACAAGAAGGCAAATGAAATATGTGTGAAACAGTGAATTCTCATCAATTTATATCACCTGAATACCAGGTTTAATAACAAAAACAGTCCTTCCTTGCTTGTCCAAGTAATCAGCTCTATACAGCCTTCCTCTTGCAGCTTCTTGAACTACATCATCCTAATTGCATAAAAAGTAAAAAAGGGAAATTGCCTTTCAGTTGAACTAATCTAGTACAGTTAGCAACTAGTCACTATTTAAAACCATATAGTCATTCCCAGGAATTCTATCCTGTAATTGGGGTAAACAAAATTAAATATGAATTACGATGATAAAGGCCCTGAAATTGCTGGCTTGCATTGATAATTAGCATTACCATCTGTCCTCGTTATAGTCAATACACCTGTAAAACTAAAGCTGACTGCTTTTAATTTTTTTCTTTTAGTTTGAGTTTTTACACACCAACTGTGCTACAAAGCATTTATAAAACTAGGATATTTAATCAATTTTCATGCTATATTATATTCAGGACTGAAGTCTAATATATTCTCTTTCATTTTTCTGAATGAATTAGATAAGAAAAAAAATAGCATTTGATACCCATCGTATCTTCTCAGGCTTGAACTCCAGCTTCCATTTCATGGTGCCTTTCAACATCTTTGCAGCCTTCTTAGAATTGTAGTTTCGTGCTCTAAGGTACCTTAGCACTGATGCATCCGAACACAGAGCAGAGAACTTGTCGGCAATTGGACCAATTATCTTTCTGACTTCTCCGATCTAAAAGAACAAAGGAAATCAAACATTTTTCCACTTCAAATTTCCTCCATAAAATGCATTCACTACCATTAAATAACCCCTTAGCTATAGGGTAGTTTCCCTGCTCACTCAAATTCAAATAGAAACTAGAAAGAGAATCAATGATCCTTATTTGACAGTTCGGCATTGGGGGTTTTAAGAAAAATTAATTGTTTGTCTAACAAATAATATGAGTATATGCAAACTTTTGGATGGAAGAATATCGTAAGAGGTTGCGCTAGTGCACTGATATACGATAACAATACACATCGAATTTATAATTTGATGTTCATAAAATAGAGCTAAATGTCAAGTACCTTGGCCTGCTGCTCTTCCGCAGATAAAGTTTTTTCAGCTGCATCGGGTTTCAATTTTTTAAATGACATCTTTCCAAATCCCAATCAAGCTAAAACATTCTGAAATATGAACAACCAAAAAAAAGGAAAAACCTTACATCCAATGTTAGGCTTGAAATTAAAATTCAGCAACAAAAGTCCCTTAAATAGACAGATTCAACTTAAAAAGGCACATTGGTGTTAACTGCTAAGTTGGACCCAAAAATTCCCATACTGCAATTTCATCTGTACATCATGAAATGATGAAGCATTTTCAATTCATTAAACTTATATTGATAATGTTCTACTTATTTACTGACTGTCTCCTTATTATTGGATCATGTCGCCATGGTCTAAAGGGCAAGAAAATGTGATCCACTCATTTGTCAAACGGTCTAAACCTTTCTTAAGCATAATTTTTTCCCTTTGTGTGATAAATACTGCAAAGACATGAGGAAAAAGAATAAGATTTTCTCCTCCCCCCACCCCAACCCCGATTCCCTGAAAAAGAAAAGAATCAGAAAGAATTAACGTAGCAAACAAGACATATAATCCCTCTGTTTCTACACATTTGAAAGAAAAAAACACACACAAGAAAAACAAATTTCACCTTTTGAACTTAATAAAGAAAGAAAAATACCAGCACTATGATGTTATCTTTTGTCACAAGACCTTTAAGCTTCCGGGATGTTCTTTTTTGTCTTTTGTGTGACTAAAAATGATCTGCAATCCGTAACACAAATAAAAATGGTCATAACAGAGGGTATATGTTATTATAGATAACAAAATAAATGTCAATCCATGCCTGCTAATTAATATTGCATTCTGAGGACAACTCATTTAGCTCTTAAAAACTGAAAAAGTAGAAAAAGAATGCGTACGCATTTAGGCTATAAAGCTTCCTAAATATATAACCAGGAGGAGTAACTTGTAGTATTTTTGTTTTAAGCACTAATTCACAATCTTTCCCATCCAATTAAACTTCAAGTGAAACTCTTACTCGGGTGTCATCACTTATCTATTAATTCACATTCATCAGAAACCATCCTTTCCATTAACAAGAATATATTTAGCTCGAACTGTGAAAAATTCCTCAAAGTTTGAACTGCATGAACCAAACACCCTAATCCAGAAAGCATGAACTCAAAGTGCGAAAAACTCCTCCGCAAGAAAATATTTGTCTACAATTTATTTAATAGAATCTATTCGATTTTCATCAAACAAACAAGACACATCATTATCTGTATAACGCTTTCATTTCATGAGTTCTGTTCTTATCCTAAAACTGCACCAAAGAACCATCCCCTTCACTGCACATAATAACACTATAAAACAACAAATCAAAACACCTAAAAATTCAAACATACCAACACAAAGGAGTGAACAATATGGTGATGAATTCTAACAAGTATGACAATCAACAAAAGTGATAAAACAAACACGATTCAATTCTTTTAGTAATAAACCTTGTTTCACAGGTTCACGTGTAGTATAGTATTCCTTAGCACTATTATAGAATAACACGATTCCTCGGCGTTTACTTGCTTTGTTCTAACGTGATTCCAGAAAAACCGATAAAGTGAAACTCAACAAGTTTCGTATAATCCAACTCAGAAGATCATTAAATACAAAACCAATTGTTGCAGCAAAGTAATCACATAAACATCAATGCACTGTTCACATCTCAAACATTACACGAAATCAAACCAATGGGATCATACATAGGCTCGTCACGAAAACAAGAAGCTTGAACAGTGTGTGCATTTATGAGAAGAGAAAATAAATTTTTTTATTTAGTAAAAAAGAAGTTTTAAAAAAAAGAGAAGAATGAGGATCGTGAAGAAGAAGAGGAGGTAAGGAAGGACACGTGGCTAGCAAGGAGAAGGGTAAACGTAACCAGTGGGAAATGGGGAAAAGAAAACAAATAACGGAAGCTTACTTATGGAACAATTTTAGAAATTTTCTTTAAATTCAAGATTTTAGCCCAATTTCACTTGCATGTTAGGTTTGTTGTCCGGCTCAAATTCAGATTTGTTATGTAAGAAAATGTTTTAGAATATTCCTAACTTGTTAAGAATTTTTTTACCTTTTTCATCTTTATAGTTTATGAGTGATTAAATTAATCTCATAACTCACTCACGTCTAAACTATATATAATCAAGACCATCCTCAGAATTAAGAACATGCTAATATTATTTTATTAGAATCCTTTTTTTTAAATATTGTTTGGTTAAATAATATTTAAGGGAATGTAAGTGGGTTAGATACTAAAAAGAGAACTTTATCGTCTACAGTAATCTTACCCGACTTAAACATGATTTTTTTCAACTAATACTTACGGTATAGAAAAAAATGACATGCTTTGTTAGAATATGTTGATTATATTAACACTGAAATAAACAACCGGATGTTTTGTGTATGTTTAGAGTACATTGTCGTTCAGAAAAATCTCTGCATAATTGAGTATAATTTACTCTATTTTTTACACGGGTAATAGCGTTTGTTATTTTGCTTTCTAGATTGTGAATTGCAGACTTCAAGCACAAGTAAATCCTAATGGATTTTGTCAGTATGAGTGGAGGTGGTATGTTTTCTGATTAGTTTGGAAGACTCTGACGGAGGCTAAATGTTTGATCACCCAAGCTTAATTATTTGCTTGGTTTGGGACACGAGACATGTTCCTTTCCGTTAAAGCAACAACTGTTATTTGGCACTGATCAATTTAGCTTGTGTAATTCCAACGAAGACTAGAGGGAGAGAAGAATTCTTATGTACACTATGCGGAGACATCTATGTTGCATTAAATTTAAAATACTAACAAAATAATTGCTATATTTTCATGCTCAATTTCTCTTACATTAATTTTTTTATTCTATCTCTCTATCTCTCTCTTCCTTTTCCATTACATTATCTATCGCGTTTCTTCTTCTTTTTTTCTCTTTCTTCCACCCGTTTAATGAATGTCAAATAATAATTTTCCAAAAGAAAAATTATGCTTTCGTTCAGTTCTGTGTGTGTGTGGAAGAGGGCCACTGCTGAATAAGATAGTTTTAACATATTGAACGAAGATGAGAGCAAATCGAAGGGAAGCTAACTGATGAACAATACTTTGTAGCATGATAAATTGAAGATATTTTAGTTTGAAGTAGGATAGAAGGGTTCTAAACAACATCAGTGATTCTTATTCAAGTTAAATCCCAATGCATGCACGACCCAAAGTAGAAAAGCAGGCCTTAGATTAAACTAGTAAGCAGTATTGGTTTGTATATAAGCAAAGGAAGGTTGTTAGTATGTATGGTGTTAATCAGTGATTCCCTTTCAATTATCATTTGTAAAACATTTCACAGAACAAAATCCGACACCATCATTACAATTGCACCCTTTTAACTGGCATCAAGGGGTTTAACGCCAGTACTGATTGAAGTTGGATGGAAACGGAAGCACATTAGCCATTTACAGTAAAGGTACAACTCCATTGACTTGAGTGTGAGCTTGCCCATTGGCCGACATTTTTCTTCTTCCAAGGTTGTACCATGATGTTCTTAGTCTATCCCACATTAAGAAAAAATGGCGATTAAGAGAAAAAAAAAAAAAAAAAAAAAAAAAAAGGCCTTCAAAATCCCTCTCCCACCTGGAGTTGAAGCTTGAAGCACCACATATATGAGAAGAAGGAACGAAAAGGAGACAGGTCAATTTAAAAAATGAAAGAGAAACCCCAATGGACACAAGAAAAACAACGCATTTACTCTACAGAATACAGCTATATGCCCTGTGCACTGTGTACCATTCAGTTAGGTCTTGAACCAAGCAACTACATAAGCAACAGGGCATTCTAGAAGACCTTTTTCTCTTTACAAACGAATGATGTTATCAATAAAGTATGATTACTTTGATAATAAACTCATCACCAGAAAAATGAAATGGAAAGAAAGCTGTTAAAGTCATGTTTTGGCTCCTCAAAATGAAGGTATGAATATTCTTCACATACCCAAGATGCCATCAATCAAGTCTCAATATTTGTAGAAGATAGAGCAGCCCAACCTCTATCAACAAGAGCAGTCATGATATGCTCATTTCAGGGAATGCATTAGCCATTCCCCAAACCAATTGTTCGAAGAATACAAATTCTTGAACATCAGAGATAAAACCATTGACCTCCATGTTTTATTTACCACCCAAAAGTCCAAGCATTGCAATGAGAAACACGTTAAGATGAAGAGTTTTCATTTGAGATTGGACCCAGTTTGAAAGCTTAGCCTGCTGCAACAATTTCCTTTCCATGATCGTCTTCATGAATATTTCGCCTCAACCTTCTCAGCCATATGTCATAGTCCATGGGATATGGTGTCCCACATAGACTATCAACATAATCAGCAAAAGCTTTCAGCACGGTTGAGATGTCACCAAGCTTCTGCTGAATTAATCTCCTTGACCAAGATGTTTCTCGCCACTGTAGCGCTCCCTCTACTGAATCTAGATCAGGAAAAACTCCACCACATGAATAATAAAGCATATAAACTAGGCTTTCAGCGTCTGAAGCAGAGCATAGTTTCCCTTCCTGAAGTGCATAAGTAGATGAGAAATGAAGATTCATAGCAGGGCGATCCCTATCTTCAAGAATAGCATGGCCCCATCCGATTAGAACAAAATAAGGGTGCCTCACACCAGCCTTTACACAGATCACATTCTCTGGCCTGATGTCTCCATGCCGAAGTCCAGCAGAGGCAGCAGTTGAAAGTGCAGATAAGCAATCATGGCAACATCTGATAGCTTCATCCAAACCAAATTGGCCTGTGCGTACCATTTCAGCTACTGTTTCACCAACTGGACTGGTCACAAGAATAGGGGTCCCACACCAAGGGTGGTCACAATTTCCACCTGAGCTGGGCCTGCGACAATGACCAGGGTGTATGATCCTACCAGAAGCACTCAATTGAGGCAGAAATTTGCTTGAGAGACCTTTATGCTTCATTATTGTCAATACTTTAGTCTGTCTCTGAACCTGATACCATAAATTCATATCTTCCCATGCTGGTTCCAACTGGGAGGGATGAGAGCCCACATATAGAAACAGATTTTTTCCTGGATCTTCAACATAGGATGCAATGTAGTATGTCAATTCACCAGTGCTGATTACCTCTTTTATCGGATAACCCTTTTGCCACTCTGAATCTTCCAGCCATAACACGGATCCTTCTTCTAATCTCATTGACTCTTTGGAATCAACTTTGACAGAATCATCCTGAACTTCAACAATTTCAGGGGAAACACTTCGTTGCTGGTATCGAAATAGGCCATTTCCATTTATACTGGTATCTCCTAACTGCCTTTCAACTCTTCTTGTTTGGAGGCGGGAACTATGATCAGCAGCTAAATCTTCAACAGAGTGCTTGGGCATTCCAGCATATTGCATAATACAGTGGAAGGTTGCAAATAGTACCTGTAAAGCACCAATATCTCCCCAGTTTGCATTGCCAAGTTTGTTCCAGATCGTATCAATTGGAGAAACAGAAATTCTAGAATGATTTTTTACCCATTCAGCAGCACATTCATAAACATTATTCACATCAAAATTGAGCTTATTTACATCTCCTTCAACCTTTACAACTCCCCCATATTGAGAATCAACTAGAAGAACAAAGACTGTGCTTGGATCTGGAAAGAAAGTCAGTCTACTCAAACTCCTTGCCAACAGCATTCGAAGAGCATAAAATAGAGCTTCACCAAGAACTGATGGAGAAGGCTGGCGGTCACTGCCTACAGCAAGACCTCCAATATCAGGTCTTAAAAGTGCCAATTCAAGGACATGATCCCATTTTCCATGAGGATGTCTAGAATTATTAAGCAATATACCAGTGCCACAAAGACCTCCAAGCCTTCCATTAGCAATAGCCTTCTCAGCCTGATAAAACTTCAAGTTAGAATTATACAGACAAGCCACAGAAAAAGGCATGGGCTCATCTTGACTCCAAAACCCCTCCCACAAGCCCTTTATACTAGCATGAAGAAAATCTTCAATAGCAAGATAAGCTGTCGCTTCTACAGCATCAGATGTAGAAGCATGAACAGCATTAGGCATGCGTGTCAGCTGCTGAAATGAAATTCCTTCCAATGCATAATCAAATTTTTGAAGTTCAATCAACTCAAACGGAACATCAAATGCTTGCTGTTTTGATGCACATTTTTTGGTTACAGATTCAAACCAGTCTACAAGTTCTGCAGTCAAGCTATCACTTTCAACAAATTTATAGAAGAATTCCTTCTGATTCCGAGGCCTACCCCCAGATGATACACTGGACCTCTTTGTCCCAGACCCTACTGATTCCTGGTCTGGGGATCTACCTGTAAACAAGTTTCCAAGCTCATTAATATTGCTATAAGTATTCAATTTATATAAGGATAGTAAAATCAGACATTCATTAGTTTAAGCTCAAAAGATAACAATAATTCTCCCGTTATCAGGAAATTAAGAGACAAGAAAAGTAATACATAAACTGACAGTAGAAATTCAACATAGAAAAATAAAAAAGATGCATACATTCACTCATAACTAGATGTGAAAGCCCACAACCACTATAATTTATTGAAGTGAGATCAAAACGATCAAACATGACACACTGATAGAACTAGGGATATTATTACAAAGAATAGGGAAAATCTCCTCTGATTATATAGTATTGCAAAACTTCGAGGATCTGCATCTCCCAATGCCCAAATCTCACTCACAATTGACAATATCTTCCTCTCTCTCAAGTCTCAACCTCTCCTCTTATTCATAAGCAATCTGCCTGAATTCTTCTCTGTCTCTATCTCAGCCCAACAACCAAGAAACACTAACTAATTATACCTATAACTAAAAATGGGGGTTACCTGTCACACATCCTTCTGGAAGATTCCATTTAAGCTCATGTAATAACCACATATTTACTAACTGACCAATTAATTCTTCTCAAAACCAAAGTAGATGGGGTTAAGTTTCTTTTTCTTTTTTGATCTGGGGGAAGGGTGGTAAAACACATCACTTCCCTTTTTAACAGGTCAGTTTGACAAACAATACCACTTTTACTATCTGGTCAGATTTAACAGATCAGTTTATCTAATGTGTACTTTCTTTTAAGTCAGAAGTTTTAACCATTATTTGGTTCCAGATGTAAACAATTATCTACAACCCACAATAATTAGGGAGTTTCATTTGATAGCCTTTATTTTCAGTCACTGAAGAATTTCAGTAAACCAACAGCATAATACCAACGTAAGCAACCCAAGCCAAGCATCACCAACAAAGGAAAAAGAAGAACCAGATGAAGGATAAGATGCCCATCATTCAAGAAAATTGAATCAGCAGATGACAACAATTTGATCATAAGTCAAGAAGACTCAAATAGCAACAAGCTAAACATAAAAGTCCATCGTCACATAAAACAAAATATGGCAACCAAACGATTTCCAGAAGCAAATACCTTGTACACCACGGTTTTGGTTTCATAAAAACTGAGAATTGAAGAAAAAGGAAAAAATATTTGGAAAAAAAAAAAGATAATTCAATCCAATTAAAGTATATAATATATATCCCAAATGAAGGTCCTAGGCATATTAAGTTAGTTATCTGCAGTTCCCAGCTTCCAAAAAGTGGATGTTCATATGCTGCACAGCACACACATTAGCAGATGATGTTTCTGCTTTCTATATTTTCATGAGCTCTCACTGGCTCACTGCTTTATACTGACTACAAGTGCAAGTTCCAGAACAAAATAAAGCCAAGACACAGTTTTGCAGAAACTGTCATTTTTCTAGCTTAAAAAATCACATTACATAAGTCCATGACAACTACTCTTCTGTCCTTATTTGACTCTTGATAAACAAACTGTTGAGATTTTCTTGCATAGATCAGACACAAACATGAAAAAATTACCCTAGTATGTTACCCCTATTTTCTTACCCTTTATTACCATCTTTTTTCTTAATTTTTATTCAATAAAAGCTAGACACCTGTAGTCCTGTACTCTAGCACCCACAACCAAAGCAAACATATTATGGGTCATCCTCTTCACTAGTGGATCTTATACATAAGGCTTACTGAACTATAGGCGTTCTGTCTTTATAGAACCATTGACAGGGGCTCACAAGAATTCTCCAACCTTTCTACAGTTTGAGAGTAAGCAAATCACAGATAAACATGGTAAGCAGATATTTGGGGCTGCCCAATGCTTGCTAAGCTTAAGCCACTTTTGTGAAGACTGGAGATCAAGATAAGGAGAAATATGGTAAATGTTGAAGATCTACTTTTCTACAATAATTCTTTCCAGAAAAAAAAAATGTCAGGCTATCGCCCAAAAAAATCCCATTTTCACATCTACCAAACAAGCCCTATAAGCCAAAAATTACAACCCGAAATTCCACTTATAAACAAGGATAAGCAGAGATGAAGCTGCTGCCTAGCCTGCCTTGTCTTTTTTAATAAAAATAAGTTTTTCAACGTAAACTGCTTTTGTATGTGTGTGTGCATTTGTTCCTACTCATATTAAATTTTTTACAGTGTAAGCTGATTTACTTGCTTAACAATACAGCTAAATCGAAACAAGGGACAGGAAATAATTTACAGTAACTACTTCACACAGTAACGAGTCCCTTTCAAACTCATTAATCAGATTTCATTTTCCAAAATAGATCTTAATTATCATACATATATTACCATTTGCTAAACATCAAAGGGTCAAGCTGCACTTAAAGCATGTTACACTCATTTCATCCCCTCCCAAGACCCAAAAGAACAAATTCACCAATGTATTCTGAAATCATAGTAAAAATAACAATCTCTCTCAGAACCAAAAGTTCACAAGTAACCTTACTGCCTGCCAAGCAATTTCCTCAGTCTTACATGACAACTTGCTGCATGAGATTTCCATTCAATTTCAATAACAGGAAATAAAAGTTTTATTGCACCAAATATGCCAAAATATTTCTACTCAGTCCTCACAATATAACTCCATCTTTTATGAACAAATTTTCACTTCACATTATCAATTCACGGACAAACAGGAAAACAAGAATTTAATTTATTGGATAGTCTAATTAGATAAACAGGAAATATTTCTACCTGCTTAAGAAGAAGCAATTCCATTATTGTCATCTCAGTTTAAATAAATATACCATTTCAGAGTACTTCCCTGACAAATACTGGCTAAAATCTTATATACTAGAATATCAGAAAAAATAAACCCATTTAGGAGCAACAAAAATGAGAATACTAAGGTGGATGAGGGGATACACGATAAAGAACAGGATACGATATAATATTATATGGGGAATATTAGAGTAACTCCTATAGTGAAGAAAAATAACTGAAAATCGTCTAAGGTGGTTCATTCATGAGCAGAGAAAACCTTTGAAGACACCAATAAGGAAAGTGGATTCCATAGCTTTTTATTTCTGTAAAGAGGAGTTGAGAGAAACCCAAAAAAACCTTAAACGAAATTATTAAAAAAGACCTTTTAATTAATCAGATTTCTGAAAATATTATTTTTTACCAAGCTCAATGGCATCATGTGATCCATTTAACTGATCTCACCTGATAAGATAAGGCTTGGTTGTTGTTGTTGTACCATAAATCACAAGTCAAATTAATCAAAATTATATCTTAAAAGATATTATTGACTGATTAAATGACATGTATTGAAATAAACTGAAAAACAAAATAAAATTCCTTTGAAAACTCACGTAATATATGTAAACATTAAAAATTGAAACATAATTCATAGATTAAATTGGACTAGGATGGAGCAAGGAAGCTTAAATCTGCCCCAATTCGTAACCATTACAATTCAGCAAAATCCACTACCTTAACCAGTTTAGACCCTGTTTATCTAATTCTTTAGATCTAGGAAATCAAATTACCCCATTTACCCATTTCACTGCCATTTCCACCTCAACCAAGAACATCAAGAGAAGGGACATGTATAAAAACATAGAAGCCTTTTGAATAGTGTAATGTCAATCATTAAATTCAATGCAACCAGTAAACTCAAAATGAATCACAAATAAATTGAACTTTTTATGAACAGCAATACACAGATCGACTTGAGAGAGAAAAACATTAGTGTTCCAATGTAAACAGATCTCACAATCTATTACTGTTAGATGTTTGTCACAGCAAAAAGTCATTGGTCAGCAAATCCAAGTTGTATAACAACCACAAGTCCTAGAAGCAAAAAAGAGAAGAAAACAAATGTATTGCTCTACTATATCATTGTGTAACTAAAACTCTATATAAAGAAAAGTTTTAACTTAAACTATCAATGCCCACAGCTTCTTATTTTGCAAAACCCAGACGCATCAAATTCAATATAAGCACAAAGTCCCACAAGGCTCTGTAGATGCGACCATTCATTTCACGTTCCTGAAGAACTAAAGAACTATACCACAAGTTTACAGTGTGATAAATGCTACAACTTTAGCAAAATAACAGAAATATCCAAAAGTCCATTTAAACTTAAAAACTACATAGAGCTTCATCAACAAGGTCATACTTAAAAAAACCAAAACCCCAAATGAATAAGGGGAGCTAAAATAAATAAACATAAATGGTAAAAAGGCAAAAAGGTGATCCAAAATTCACAGATAGAAGTACAGCCCCAACTCCTATAGTTTCCCTTATGCTGCATAAAAAGAGTTGAATTTCATCATCAATTTCTCGAAGCAAAAACTCTCCACGCCCCCCAAAAGTTACTAATCGAACTCATAGAACGCCACCAAAACCACAATTGAAACAAATCCCCAAAAACAAGACACGAAAAAAATAGGAAATTAAAAAAACAAAGATAATGTGGAGCAAGCCGAGTCAATCTCAGAAGAGTAAAAGAATGAGTCAAAGAAGAGTCAAAGGAGTGAGAATTTAGGGTTCAGAAAAACAAGGAGCAGAAGAAGAAGGGATTGCGTAGTTACCTTGCATTTTCGAGTGTTATAAGTGGTTACAACAAAGCTTTCAGATCTTCCGCTCCTTTTCCTCACTCACTCTCTCTCTCGAAATTATATTTTATTTTTCTTTATTTAAAATTTATGGATTATCAGGTACGTGAATTAGAAGCAGATCGAACCCTGCTAGTGTCTGATCCAACAGGTTCTGGTGCTCCCGCTAGCTTCCACCACCACCCCATCAAAAAATTAAGAAACCATAGCAAAAACGAAAATGGTGTCTTTGTCCATTTTATTATCTGAGCTTTTCACTTTTTGAGTTCATTCATGCGCGTTACCTTTATGTATGCTCTCAAGTCTGAACTGTACAATACAATACGGGCATTACCTGTTGGGGGGTGTGTGTGTTTATTGATAAACAAAAAATGTGAGTATTCAATAATAATTATTAAAGTATAAATGCGGGTAATAATTCTTATTCCCTTGTTTAACAATTATTATTGCTCACCTCACATTCCGACCTTGTCTTTATTTTTAATTTTTAATTGAGGATACTGAATTGTCAGTGACTATTGTTTTCTTTTCTATTTCTGATCTGTTCTATTTAAGAAAATGAAAATTACTAAAGGAATATTAGTTTATTGAAATTTGAAAGCGATATTTTGTTCTTTGTTGTGAATTTTTTGGAGATATTTAAGTTCCAAAGAGAGGAAGAGTCAATGCGGAGTGGCTTTCATGAGGAAGAATTGGACCCCTACGGTTATAATAAACGGAGTGGGCATTGCCTTTGCAACAAAACGATGGGTTGGGTTTGGTTGGGAAGCAAAGGGGAAATGGTTGTGTATTTCTCATTGGCGTGTGGTTAGAATAGTGAAGGACTGAAAACATCCTCTTCAATGTCGGCCATTTGCCACATCTGTTATTTCCTTTTTTCATAATTATATATATATATATATATATATGAATTAGACTAATTGATATAAATATCAAACTTAAATATTTATATCGTTTAAATTTTTTTATAAAATATCAAATTTATTAATTTAAGAGTTAAATTACCATATATTATCTTTCTAACTTATGTTTAGAATTTAAAAATTGTGTTAAAATAAAGTAAACCGATGAATATTTAATAATTTTACTTTCTCACATTTTAAAAATATATATTACATTAATTTCTTGTATATTATTAAGATATCAAATAATTTTAAATTTATCTAAAATTTTGAATATATAATTTTTATGGTTGAAATTTTTAATTTAATAATTAATTTTATAATTAACTTATCAAATAAAAAGTTATTAAATAGTGTAAAAATAAATATAATTTATCTCTTCCATATAACTTACATCAGTGTAAATCGATATTTTTTGCATCCATATAAATTGCACTCACTCTTATATCATTTAATAACTTGTTGTAAGATAATTTAATTTTAAAACTAATCGTTAATAGGGCAATTTATCATAATTTAATATTGATAACAATTTATCATAATTATTGATAATATAATTATTAATAGGGCAAAAACTTTTACAATAAAATGTATCTAAATTAAATCATATTATTATTGGTGTTTTTATAATAAATCAAACAGTATTTTTGTTAAATCATTTTAATTATATTATATTATATTTTTACAAAAAATCAATAAAAATATTAGTAAAAATTGTTAAATTAATGTATATTTATATATAAAATATGTCTTTATTTTTAAACAACAATATATTTAAGAGTCATTTTTTTTAATAAGCAAAAATATATTATTAAGAAAAAGGAGTACTATAGATACTCTAACCCATATACAAAGTCAAGGCAACTGCTTAATACACATCAATGGCTTATTTAACCAATTTATATATACTAGTTGTCTCTAATTCAAACTCGCTGACAACCATTTCTAGGACCTATATTTGATAGCATCTATAATCTCCCCAACATCTAACACACCATTATTAAAGACAATATTATTTCTATGTAACTAAATGTTCCATATCACGGCTACCCAACTAGTTGCTACATAGCTCCACTTCTTTTTCCCACCCACAAAACCACATATATCCAATAAAAGATTCTGTAAACACTTTGGCATACATGCAGAAAAGCCCAACTAATACCAAATCGAATACCATATACTGCTAGAAATACAATAATGCAAGAATAGATGCTTCACCTCTTCATCATCTTGATTACATAGGGCACAAGATTCATTTATCAACAACATACCGTGGTTCACAAGCCCCTTACGTACTGATAAAGCTGGTAATAACAATTGCCAAGAGAACACACTAGCTTTTTTGGAAACAAGTGCCTTCCACATATGACGCAATGTCAACACCACATTGTTAGCAACAATGAACCTGCAGAAAAATAATTATGCAAAAAATCATATGCAAATTTTATCGTATATGCCTTTGATGTATTACAGTTCCACACTATCATATCTAGGATGTTGAGTCGCGACTGTACACCACCAATGAGCCCTATCAATTTGTGAATCATTGCCTATTCCCGCTAAAAAATGATTTGTCTTCGCTAGTGGAAATTTCACATCCAAATACCTTCAAAAAATCAACCATTTTCATTGATCTTGGATTCCTTGTTTGTAGCCACAGAAAATAGTCTAGGAAAAATTTCTGTAAGAGCAACACCTCTAACTCACTTGTCAACCCAAAACCTCACCGTGTTACCATCACCAATAACACGGTTTAAACTAATATCCACCCAAAAATTAGCTTGTTGACACACTCACGCTACATCCTTCCACCAATCTAACGCTTTTGGATCCACATCATTATGTCACATAACTGATGAAAATTCACTGTAACGTGCTTTGAGAATTTGTACCTATAAAAAATTTAGATATATTTAAGAGTCATTGATAAGTTAATATTTTAATATATTTTTACACTATATATACATGCTTGACAATTATTTTATTTTAACTATTTGCTAATTTTTATATTAATTGTGTAGTTTAACATTAGAATGTCACAGTTAGATTTTGAGTGCATTTTAAACCTAAATTTAATAAAAAATAGTGTCATTTTAAAATCATATTTAAAAAACCTTGAGTGCTACAACTTAGGGATCTTAGTTTTGACCAATCATTAACGACTTTTGGATCTTTGGAGCGCATCTTGGGATTAAGAACTATCTTCGTATCTTCTTCATTGGTGATTTCTTTAATTTGCAGTTACTTTTCGAATGATTAAAGATTGATTTATTATTTTTTTAGCTCTTTATTACATTATGTCCAATTAAATTCATAGTCAAAGTTATGATGGATCATTTACATGATTCTATGTGATCTTTGTGATTGATAATATTTTAATTTCTTTTCTTGATTGGTGTTTATCCTATTACGTTATAATTTGTTAGAATTGACAACTCTTAAATATGTCATAATTAATTATAGGGTTTTGTTAACCTAAGCTCATAGGGCTAAGTTTAAGCATCCACAAATTGAAAAGTTTTATAAAAAAAGTACACAGTTATTGTATTATAGTTATAAAAATATAATAAATAATCTTATTTCTAATAAAATTTTACTATTATTAGTTATTTATCCTCAGCCCTATGGGTTGAGGTTAACAAAACCCTTAATTATATTATAGGTGATCGTACACATATAGTTAATAGATATATAGTATAAAACAAGATAAAGAATTAAGTGGACCAAATTTAGTTTTTCTCTTTCAATCATTATTGAATTAACAAGATTATAGGCTATTTATATTTTTTTTTTCTTTTTACTTTGCATGATCATTGGGGATAATAGCTTAGAAAAAATATTCTTAACATTTAAATCATTAAGTGTTAATAGATTTATTTTTAGTAATTACCAATTATAAAAAAAATTAAAATTAAGATTAATCTAAAATTAAACATAGAAAAGTATACAGTTGAACTCATATGTCCTAGAATTTGTTAAATGTAATTCAAAAATAACAAGAAGGTAGTTATTCAATTGTGCAGTCTGTTTCTAACCATCTAGGTTTGTTAGTCTAAATCGAGTATATAAACCCTTAAGTGTGTAATTGTTTTTCAAGGGGAATAATAAGATTTTCTTCATCATTTCTCGAGTAGTCTCTATCCAAATGTGCATGTATGTGATATTCATGTTCCAACAAATTGGTATCTAGAGCACTGGTTCGATTTCATCATTCTGCTATGAAACCAAAGAACGTGCCTGATTGAAGTTGTGATCTTGGGCGTATCTCATCATGGTTGGTTCAAACGACAATGGTAGTTTTCCAGGGAATTTGCCAATCCTTGATGGTAAGAATTGGTCGCGATGTTGCATACAAATGAAGGTTTTGTTTAGTTTTCAAGATGTCGTGAAGATTGTCAAGAACGGGGTTCAAGAACCAACTGAGGGTTCCTCTTATGCTGTTAAAGTTGGATTCAAAGAACAAAAGAAGAAAGATTATAAAGCTTTGTACCTGATTCATCAGTGTGTGAATGATGAGAATTTTGAGAAAATTGCAAATGTCGTATTTGCCAAGGAAGCATGGGATACACTTGAGAAAAGTTATATTGGTGATGAAAAGACAAAGAAAGTGAAGGAAGGCAATAGATGTTAAATGAGTTTTTAAACTCAAGCTGAAATCTGATGGATCTATCTCTAAACATAAAGCAAGATTGGTTGTTAGAGGATTTCTTCAGAAAGAAGGTATTGACTACACCGAAGTTTTTGCTCCTGTAGCTAAGATTGAAACTATCAGGCTGGTGGTTGCTCTTGCATATAGAAAGAAGTGACCCTTACTGCAGCTTGATGTCAAGTCTGCATTTCTAAATGGACCATTAGAAGAGGAAGTTTTTGTTACACAGCCCCCTAGTTTTAAGGTAGCAGGAAGAGAAGATAATGTGTATGATAAATGCTTTCTATACTTGATCCTACATTGTAATTCATGAATAATAATTAAGAGTTTTAAGTTATTCATTGATAAAATTTACTATTATTAATTTTATTTTATTTATACTTCAGGAAAAAGGATCAAGAAGTGAAAGCTTTAAAAGATATTGAGAATTGAAACACATAATGAAGCCAGAGATATACAAGGGCAAGTACATGCCCGTGTATATAAGCGTGTATCTCACTGGTCGCATCAATTGAAGTGTATCATCAAAACCAGAGATGTACATGGCCAAAGTACATGATCGTGTACATGAGCGTGTACTTTTCAAGAAAGCTATGAAGTGCAATTATTAGAGACCAGAGATATACACGGCCAAAGTACATGGCCGTGTACATGAGCATGTACTTTTATGGAAAGCTTTGAAGGGCATCTTTTAGAAACCAGAGCTGTACACGGCCAAAGTACATGGCATTGTACTTGGGCATGTACTTTTAACGTGCGTCAGAATTTAAATTTCTGCCAGAAGATGAGCCATTGGGCCACTCATATAAAAGGGAACTTGG